TCAATATAATAATTATTATTATTATTATTACCATCATCATCATGATTATCATTATTGTTATTATTGTTGTTGTTGTTGTTGTTGTTTTTGTTGTTGTTTTCGTTGTTTTTATTATTATTAAGTTTTGTTGTTATTACTATTATTATTATCATCATTATCATACTCATCATCTTCATCGTCATCATCATCATCATCATCATTATCATTGTTATTTCAGCAAACTTGATATTAACGTAATATGCATGATTCACTATTCAGGTCTACATATAATTGTTTCGTATCAGAACGTACATAGATGAAAGTCTGCGTTTTTGTTAAAAGGAGAACACTTCCGACTTCTGGTTTCCGGTACAAGCCTACTTCCTTTTTAGCAAACCATAATCATGGCGCAGCAGCTATCGAAGAAGAGAAAGGTAAACAAACTATGTTTTTTGTTGTCGAATGTAATTTTTGCAATGCAATTTGATTGTAATCTTATAAACAAATGACTGTACTAAAGTTTGGTCCACCGTTTACGTTCTGATTGCAAGAAACACTTGTGATGGAGATGGATTTTCTTCATGACGATAAGAAGGCAGTTTTGGGACGATGCCTCAAGTTTACATGGACAAGTCACTCGTTGTACCGTCCAGTCCTCAAATTTCAAATGGTTTGCTTTGTACAAGGATCCAAGATGTAGGTTTATTCTCCTCATCGTCTTGATGTGCTTTGCTACTAAAGGTTTGTTTGTTGAATGGCAGTCTAAATTAGATTTCTAATTCAGCTGTTCAAAGAATCAAAATGTAGAGTCGAGATCAAGCCTATCAATCATACTATGATGGAGAGTCAAGAGGATGAGGTTACTAACTGAAAAGAGAATGGTATTGACGATGAAGCGCGGTTATTTTCGGCATTGGTTAAGATTTGCCGACCCTCCACCATGTTGGTTTGTTTAGCCTACATCAACCGAAATGCCGGAAGGACTTCCGTAACGAGCGACCACCCCATCAAACACAATAAAGAAGAGGCCTAACCCTACCCCTAGATCTACCAGCCTCTACCCCTACCCCTAGCCCTCAATTCTGCTCTGTCTCATAGTGGTCACTCGTTACAGAAGTCCTCCTGAAATGCCACACAGTGCGTGTGGCCTAGGCTATGTGTGTATTCTGTAGTAGTGTAGATCTAAAGTCTAGTGTGTAGTTTGTGTACGTGTAGTGTGTATATGCCTGTCCAAGACTGTCACCTGTACAAACGACCACTCCACCCCCTCGTGTCACACAGGTTTAAATTTCTTCTTACAGCAAGAATCCAACTGCAACCGATTGCCGCTCCAAAAGTTCACTCTAAAACGTAGGGGGCCTATAGATCTAGATATAGAATCTAGATCTTGTTGCGTTAATTGCGACAGAGGGACGCTGTGACAACTAACACGGCGTTAATTGCGACAGGGTGACTTTTTAGTTTTGACAATGCGGCGCTAATTGCAAGTGACTGACAAAAAAATGTTTAAAAAGAAAAACAAACACACATGCGCACACACTCGCATACAAATACACATGTGCGCACACACACATACACTCACAGACAAACAAGCACCCACCACACAGGCTTGTGGCCCTATATACACGCACACATAGTGACATACCAAACTAACAGACAAACAAAGACTGTCGCAGCTCTTTTCTTGTTGCTGTTGTCAACTGTTGTTGCCCCTGCCCTAGTCGTTTTTGTTGCTGTTTGATGTTGCTAATGTTTTGTTGAAATATTTGTTGCCTTGACCGCATGGTACAGCAACAAAAACCAGTAGGGGCAACAACAGCAACAGGAAAAGAGCTGTGACTGTCTTTGTTTGTCTTTTAGTTTGCTGTGTGTGTATAAGGCCACAAGCGTGTGCTGTCTGTTTGTATTTGTGTGGGTGTGTGTGTTTGTTTTTATGTCTTATCTTTTTTGATTGATTTTTTTTAGTCACAGACTCACTCTGTCGCAATTAGCGTCGCATTAGTTGTCACAGTGTCACTCTGTCTCAATTAACGCCACGAATTATATTTACCTTTTAAAAATTAATGTCAGTTTGTTTAATAGTGTTGTCATACACTATTATGCTCTGAGGTAGGCTTCTGTAACTTTGACACATGAAATTTGACAAAAATGTTCAGTGTTCTGCTTGCCACATTACAACAATCAGTTTGTAGATGTATGATGTCAGCATTCCCATACTTTTGATGATGGCCACCCTGGAAGAAGAATAATTATGCTTGCCATTGCTAACAGTAACTATGTTGGGTTTGTTTTTTTCCACAGTTTGTGACCGATGGAATCTTCAAAGCTGAGCTTAACGAGTTTTTGACTCGTGAGCTGGCTGAGGATGGGTACAGCGGTGTGGAGGTGCGCGTCACCCCTACCCGTACTGAGATCATCATCCTGGCCACCCGTACCCAGAACGTTTTGGGAGAGAAGGGTCGCCGCATCAGGGAGTTGACATCTGTTGTGCAGAAAAGATTTGGCTTTCCCGAGGGAACAGTTGAGGTAAGTTCCCATGTTTTTGGGGGGGTTTTTTTCAGATGTGTCAGTAGTTTTAAGTTATACCCCATTGTTTTATGGGTTTTTTTGGGGTCATAATCAATAGCTACATTTTTCTAGACTTAACAGTTGTAGTAAGTCAAATTATCTAGCCTATGTCACAGGGTCCCCCTATCTGGTTCTTTAAAAGAATTTTAAGTCTAATATGCAACTGTATAAAGGATATTATAATTTTGTGACATTTGAATTTCTCTTTAATGCTGTATTTGAAAATCAAAACCAAAATGTTGCTTACGTTTGGTATGGCAATGCTTTCATGACAGTTTTGTATGCCATTAACAGGTAGACGTAATGGCACCCCCCGGGGCAGTGCCTCTGACTGTAGTGTCTTTAGGCCATTCCCAAAGGGGGGACACTTCTCGTTCAAGAATAGTAAAATTGTAAATGGGCTGACTCATGTCACGCTCATAACTGTGCCTGATATACAACAAAGAACTGCTGCTTTTTCTTTCCTGATCCTTACTATTGTCATTTTCCTCTACTTCTTTTGTATGTTTGTCACTCTCTTGTGACCTGCTATTTCCGGGGTGCCTTGATAGTCGAAGCAGACCTTGTGCTGTTGAAGCTAGAGAGGTGAGCAGAGTAAGTCTGATTCCCCGTAAGGACTTCTCTGTTGACACCCACGTAAAACCCTCTACTATATTAGAAAAATATTCTCAACATTGTATCTGATCAATGATATCGATGCCACTTCCATTCTTTGTATAAATGACATGGGAACATTTTATTTTTCAGCTGTATGCCGAGAAGGTTGCCACCCGTGGTCTCTGTGCTATTGCTCAGTGTGAATCTTTGAGATACAAACTGATTGGAGGTCTTGCTGTCAGAAGGTACGATATTGTTAGTTGTTTTTGATGTTTCTCAAATCCATAGCCACAGTATATATGAATGGAACGGAGTCCTGTATGGTAACTGCAAAGCTCATGGAAATGAAAACTGAACATTACAGGTTTTCTAGAGGCTCAATTTTTAAAAAAGTTGAAATTATTAGATGTATATGCACCTAGATGCCTGAGTGAATATAATTATTTATGACTGACTGGCTAGTACTTTGGTCCAACTGTCTTGGTGATTTTGAAGTTCATGAAGGTGAAGAGTGCCTTGACAACTGTTGCGATTGATAAACTTGCACCTAGAGGTGCGTGAAGCTATCCATACATTCAGGGTTTGTGAGGTAAATGTTCATAACTGTCTGTTGCAGCGTTCACCTCTGTATAAATACATTTGCCACAAACTAGGTTTGTAATGACATTGTTCTGTGTTGTGGCTATTGCCCCAACAGTTACGACGAGTGGCAGAAGGATCCATCAAGTCTGCTGGTCCTCAAATTAAGTGGGTTGCTTTTCAATATTGTTGGTATGTTGCCTTTCATCTGGCTCCCATCTGTGAAATGATATATATGCCTTTTTGGTGTCAGATTCTTCCCTGAATGACCTGTAAGTAGATTCCAGTCTCACGTGATGTTAGGAGAAAGTCAACAAAAGGGACCTTGAATATCTTTGAGTGGGGTTGTAAATTTTTACCTTGCTACTGTTTCAGAAAAACATAAATCATGTGGATTTTCGAATGAAGAAGAAATTGTAATTTTTTGTTGTTACGGTTTCATATATTATAATTAAAAGTCAATACAATGATGAAAAAGCAGAATTTCAAAATTGTTTGTATAGAACTACTAAAGAGTTGATGCTTATGCCCTTTCTCCTCTCTTCCGCCAGGGCCTGTTATGGTGTCTTGAGATTCATCATGGAGTCCGGCGCCAAGGGCTGTGAAGTCGTCGTGTCCGGAAAACTGAGAGGCCAGAGGGCAAAGTCCATGAAGTTCACCGACGGACTCATGATCCACAGCGGTGAGCCGCTGAACGACTACGTGGACACCGCTGTCAGACACGTCTTGTTGAGACAAGGTAAGCAATGTCCTGCTGTTTTGTCGTGCCGTGCTGCTCAAGAGAACTGCTTCTTTCCAATGATGAATGTTCTCCACTTATTATACATATTTTGAAACTTTGGGATTGGTAAAGAAAAGGACTTGGCTTATAGGCAATGAGATTGCTCGATTTACATTTCTATAATTTTCGACAGCGACCCTTTTTGCCATGCCACCACCATGTTTAAGCATTTTATTGCTAAAAATACAGACCTGTGCCGAATATTAGCCAATGTAAACAGCTGGAATTTTGCTGTGCTCTAGCAAGATAGTCCCATTCTTATGTTGAAAATGTAAGACAGTTAGACAAGGAGAAATGAACATGGTTGCTCAAACTGGGTCTATGCCAGTTGCGTTGAAGGAATCATTTCTTCATAAACATAAGTGTGTTGTTTAGTTCCTTACTTTTTTGAAAATCCTGTGAATGGCAATATAGGTATCGAGGTTTGCCGCGCTTGTATTGCAGAAGTATTGTTGCATTCAATGCTTGTTGCACTCGACTTTAAGCTCGCGCGCGCACCCACCCTTTTTATAAAAAAAACACGTCTGTCAATATGTTAACACCACACATACTGGCTTGCTTATTAAATTTTTTTTAATGTGCTCGTTTATTTTTATCTTAAAAGTCAGATTGTCATTGTTAACACATTACACCCTAACTCGCCCGGGATCGCCCGGGAATTCCCTTATGCGCTCCACCCTGACTCGCCCGGAACCGCCCGCGCCGACCCAGCGTCTTTAGGAACAAAAGTCTCGCCTTGACGAGACTCTGGGCCGCGATTTTGATTTGCATAGTATAGCAAAAAGTTTCTTCTTTCGTTTGATACGGAAACGAAATTTTTCGGGCCAGTAGTTTTAGTATTAGAGCTGATCGAAGTGCGATCGCGTTGCCGACACTTCGAAAGTGTCTCGACTTGTTGAAAAGCGACACAATTGAGTTCGAAAACGGAAATAACGATGGATTTGAGCAAAAACGAGCATGTGACAAATCAGATGGCTCAGATTTTGATGAAAACGTTGTAGGAAGAGTTTGGGGCGATTCCGATTGATCAGACGGAGAAAATCTAGAATTTAGATCTAGGGCCCGATCGCAAGGCTGAGAGTAAGAGTGACTGGTCGGACACCCCGATTGAACTAAAGTTAGAACATTTCCAACAGTTTGCGCATACATAAAGTTATATTTTAGACCTGCATGTTTGCCGACAATCGTCTGAAATCCGACAATCGCAACCCGACCCGCGAGCCGGTCGGTGCTATAGCTAGGCCCACCTGTATCAGTCAATGTGCGTAGTGCGAGGCCTGGCCGACTGCCAGCGACCCCTTTTTCTCCCGCCGGCTTTGTCGGCACTTTCGTTTTCGTGCCGACGTCGGCGTTTCCGGCATAATTGTCGGAACCTAAGTAGAAATGCGAATACGAAAAAGGACGACGACCTAAATTATCTACTTTCAGTTTCGTGCTCGGGCGGCCATTTTGAATTTCGTTTGTTGGCTAATTACTAATTTAATTGTTCAGATCGTGCGGATTCATTCAAGTCCGACTCTCTTGTTCTAATAGAATCTAGATCTATATTTATATAGGTCATTATAGACCTCAATGGAGGATTCATATTCCAATTCTATTATGTCAAACCCTGTCATAGGTTGTGCTGTAATATTAATATTTTAATATTGGTAAAAAATATTTCATCAGGGGCGTGAATTATTTATTTATTTAGATTTAGGATCTAGATTCTAGATCTAGATATTAGAATCTAGACTCAGCTGAGTCTCTCTGTTCGGAATCGGATGCGGGCTTCTAGTTCAAGGCCTATTCCTATTCACTTGTTCTACAAGATCTAGATCTATATGGAGGATTCATATTCCAATTCTATTGTTTGTGTTATTGTATCAAACCCTATTATAGCAATGTAGATGTCAGCCATATGGTCCTTGTTTGTTTTGGAGTGTGGTTTTTTAATTTTAAAAAATTTTTCATTTGAGACTTGTTTTGGCCTTTTTACATGAGGCCCGTTGCAGGTTCTCTTTGGGGGTAGGGTTAGGGTTAGGTCTCTTCTTTTTATTGTGTTTGTCGGGGTGGTCACTCGTTACCCGGATGTCCTTCCTTATGACACCCACAAAAGCTCTTATGGGGGGGGGGGGGGGGGTTTGCGCAAAATTTTCAGACAATCTGGTTGAGGCTCACATGCAGGTCTATATTTCTGAAACTACATTCAGTTTTCTTTTTAACTTTTATTTTTTCAGGATTTTTGGAATTTGTTTAGTATTTTTTTAAAAGTGTTTTTTAAAGGCTAGTATTCACAGGAGGTGGGTTCCTTCCCCTTGCTTAGGATCTAACAATGGACTCCCCGTCCAGGCCCTTAGGGTGTAATGTGTTAATTTTAGATGACAGATCTAGAATTTTACTTGAATCACAACAGAGTCAGGGTTACGACCTGCATTTGTATAGCGCCAAGAGCTTGCGTTATTTTAATTATGCTCGCTCGCAATATAAATGACATATGCTATTATTATTTTGTACATTTGACTACACATTTGTTTTTTGTTTATTCAAATTTGCCGCACAGGTGTATTGGGCATCAAAGTAAAGATCATGTTGCCGTGGGATCCCACTGGCAAGATTGGCCCTAGGCGCCCCCTGCCCGACCACGTCAGCATCGTGGAACCCAAGGACGAGGCCCCGCCCGCACAGCCCTACAGCGAAGCCAAGGGGGTCAAGCCCACGGACGCTCCTCCATCTGCCCTGGGACCTGTCGGCCCTGCTCCGTGAAGGTGGGCGCTTTTCTTGTTATGTTGTTGGTCCAGAATCTAGGTGAAGACTACAGGGGGGATACCGACGGTAGTCACAAATAGAAAATTGTGGGGGCATCAATTTTGAACGCTTGTGGACTCCTAACTGTATTTCTGTTCAACTGTTAGTTGATTATTGTTGTTAGATTTCCCATTCAACAACACTTCACAATAAACCACCACCAGTCAAACAAAAATATAAAGTTATGAGTACCCAAGCTTTTAAAATTCCCCCCCCCCCCAATTTCCAGTTTGTGACTTCCATCGTTTTCCCCCTGTGCTCTTCAGGTGTTAGACACGCCCCCAACCACCACCACCACTCACACACATGCACCCCTATGTTGCATTGATTAATTTTAAAATATAAAGTACGGTAATTTTAGATTTTAGACAAATTGTGATGCCAAAAATCTAGTAAACAGATAGAAGTGCTTTAGTAGGCCTTGATGTATGAGAAATGCAGAAACCGCACTCTCAGCACAGGATCTCCATTTTCTACTTATGGAGTCGTTGTAGGTATAAGTGAAAGGTTTAGGTCTTGGGATGGGGGGGGGTGGTAGATAGTCCTGCAGTTGAAAGAGATTGTCATGTTTATTAATTTATTGAGTCAAAGATGAACTAATGTTGATTTGTAAAGTTGTATTCTCTTGTAGGATTCTGTGTTGTTGGTGTGATATCATATTTTGATCATCCTCAAATTGAATTAATAATGTTGCTTTTTTTTCTCTCCTTTTCAGTGGATCAAGCCATGTGGAGTTGGAAGATTAGGTGTTGAATTGACAACCAATTATAATAAACTCAAAGAGAGTTACACAGTTTGTTTCTTCTTTCTTGCTTTTTTAAAAAAAAAGTGTTGTTTTCTGTTATAATGCTCCGACTCTTGTCTCGGGATATTGAGGTACTGTTGCATCATGGTAAGGACATTATTATATTGGAGTTAACTGAATGGAGAGTGCTCTGTACATACAGAGCCATGGAGTTAACTGAATGGAGAGTGCTCTGTACATACAGAGCCATGGAGTTAACTGAATGGAGAGTGCTCTGTACATACAGAGCCATGGAGTTAAATGAATGGAGAGTGCTCTGTACATACAGAGCCATGGAGTTAACTGAATGGAGAGTGCTCTGTACATACAGAGCCATGGAGTTAACTGAATGGAGAGTGCTCTGTACATACAGAGCCATGGAGTTAAATGAATGGAGAGTGCTCTGTACATATACAGAGACAACACCACGACTTTTTTTTTTAAAAGGCATTGTCATTTTTTAATACATTTATTAGGACTCGAACCTAGCTGTGACTAGTCATGTGACACAATGCTGATGGTCGGTGACTGTTGTTTACAATACGAACCTGAGCTGCTCTCTGAAAATATTCTTTCGTTTTTACACTTTCTGCCCCCACCCCTCCTTTGCCCCTTCCTCTGCGCTATGACCATATGCAGTTGTGAGCGCAACCCCCCCCCCCCCCCCCCAAATAAAACCAGAATCCGAGCATATGCTTCCATTACCCTTCCACACGCTGAGTGCAGCATTGGTATTGGCATAAGTTTACGTAAATGTACCAGCCGCCATTCCTTGTGGGTAGGTGGTTGGCGGGTGCTCTGGTGTGGTTTGCTTCTTTTCCTATCAAACATCTATCGTCCTTATCTCCCCTTCTTCTTTTTTATGTTTATTACTCTTGCAACAGCTCTAATCTTCTGGCGCTCATATGACCTTATGCAGTTGCGAGCGCCGTAAAACCTCTACTAAACCAAAAAAAACGAATTCCTTGGGGGAGCTCAGCTGCTTGGGTCCTGTAAACTCTGGGGACCAGGGGAAGGAGGGTCAGGGATTACATTCAGAGCATTGGCTGAGCATGATCTCCCGTGGGGGGGACTTCAGCATGACCATGCTTCAAAACTTGTGTGGTATTCTTGAACGGAAGTTGTGTTGTGGGCGTTACAAGGCTTTCCATGACGCTTGTAGGACCTTATGCAGTTGCGAGAGCCGTAAAACCTTACTGTACTAAAACAAAAACAAAGGGTTTCCCTCTTGGATTAGTTCCACAAAGTGCTGTGGTTGGCGGGTGCTCTGGTGTGGTTTGCTTCTTTCCTCCTATCGAACATCTGTTGTCCTTATCTCCCCTCCCTTTTTTGTGTGTGTTTGCTACTCTCTTGAAACACCTGATTGGCGGGTGCTCTGGTGTGCTTTGCTTCTTCTTTGCCATCAAACATCTATCGTCCTTATCTCCCCTTCGTCTTTTTTATGTTTGTTGCTCTCTTGTAACACCTCTAATTTTCTGGCGCTCATATGAACTTTGCAGTTGCGAGCGCGGTCCTCTACTAAAACAGCTCTGTAATCTTCGGCACTTATATGATCTTATTGTGTTTCAAGTAAGTGCTGTAAAACACCCAATTATAATGATAGTAGTAAGAGATAGCATGTATAGTGCTAATTCCCGCTCAACAGCGAGCTCTACTCTATGCGCTTTACAATCTATACTATTACCCCAGCAGGCCTGATAGCATTCTGAAACAATCTCAACTTCCTGGGAAGCATACAGTGCAGGCTGCCATTTATTGGGGCTGAAACACTTACTGACAAGATCTTTTGCTGTCTATCGCTGGATACCCATTTCTACCTGGGTGAAATGAAGACACAACATTGGGCCCGCAGCTACCCCCGAACTCTCAACCATATTTTTATGAGCCCTGTAGCCTAACCACTAGACTACTGACACATCACAAAGTGCACTGGTCAGAGGTGGCCATAAAATTTGGAGGTCCGGTCTCCTGTAATTGGCAACTTTCAGTGGAATTTTTATTTACAGCCAGATCTTTCGGGTATTTAAATGAAGACTGCCCAATTTATGATGTTATAGTTATGGCTCGTTCTCTAAAAGTTGAGCGACAGAATCTAAAAAGTCCATTAAAAAAAGGCACCTCAAACTCAAACTAAGGACGTTTTCCTTGATGTAATTGTAAGCCCAAAGCAGGTAAAAAAAAAGGGAGTGCTTATTTAGGCCACATATGGCCTAAATAAGGTAAGGGAGGGGGGTTTAGCTTATTTAGGCCACACATGTTCAAACTACCCTTTTCAGGCAACTGAGTTCATTCCACTTTCATAATGGTGCCCCTTTCTCATTTAGTATGGTTTTGCCTCAGTGTACAACTTATAAATCATAACCATAATGAATATTGTAAAGAACAAAGCACAAAACGCAAAATTTTGCTCAATTCCAATGGTTTGAATGAGGGCCGGATTTTTCCTTCATGGAGGGGCAAAAGCTAGGCTACCATTTTGGCACACTTTGGTCAAGTGAAAAGGTCAAATCCTCCGAATGGACTTTCGGGTTAAATTTGGGGTATAAAAAGTGTGTATACTATGTGGCTGAGTCAAAGTTACACTATCTTTGCCTGAGTGACACTCTCTCGTACTGTCTCGTAGTAGTACATGTAGGCTGGTAGGCCTAGTAGTAGTAGTAGCAAAGATCGTGTAGAGAATATTTGGTAGTAGATTCTATCTAGTAGGCAGTTTAGTGAACGTGCTCGCGGCAGGGCGAATCGGCCTCGATAAGCCCCGTAGACTTTTGTGATCGGCCACGAAGCCTCGTGTTTTGATGGATCTAGATCTAGATCTAAACAACTCAGTGCTATTCGCACTGCCACATCCGACAGGCCTAGATCTACATCTTTTTAAAAGGAAAAGAAAGATCATCAAAATAGTTGAATTCGCATGAAAATCGATTAGGTAGAACTAGAACTATTAAAACTTGCTTCTGAAAACAAGGCAATTTTTATACGAAGGCCATTTTTATAACTCGATGAAATAAAAACTACTGACTGTGTACTGTGTTATTCTGTATAAAAATAAATTATGAAACTTCAGGACGTAGATCTATTATTATTTACCAGCATCTTTTGACGCCTGAGCTGTAGAGGTTGAAGTTTTCACAACACTAATAGATCTAGTAATAGGGTTAGGTAATACGGCTTTCCGTAAAAAATGCATAGATCTACAAAAGCCGACCACCGAATCGACCGGGCGCCTCGGTCTCCCCTGCACTCTGATTCAATATTATATTTAAACAAAAATGCTAATCAATGAAAATTGCAAATTGATAATAATAGTATAGTCCTGTAGAGGATAGGTGGACTCCGGGGTCTGCATAGCGAAATACTAGGTTTTAGGATGTGGACCCCGGAGTCACCGTAGTGAAATAAGGTTTGGTTTAAGTAAGGATTGGTACTAGGTTTTAGGACAGGTGGACCCTGGGGTCACCGCAGTGAAATAAGTAGGTTTCTTTAAAGATTGGTGGAACCCGGAGTCACCAAGGCCATAGAGGATTAAGAAGGTTTAATTAAGGATTGGTGGACCCCCGGGACACCTTGATTAAACCTACTTATTTTACTACGGTGACCGCAGGATCCACCTATTCTAAAACCTAACTAGTGTTTCGTTAGGTAGACCCTGGGGTTCACCTTAAACCTACCTATTTCACTACGTTGACTCCAGGGTTCACCAATCCTTAAAATTAAACCTAGATCTATCTACATGTACTTATTTCACTACATTGACCCCAGGGTCCACCAATCCATAATTAAACTTAGATCTACTGATTTCACTACATTGACCCCGTGGTCCTCCAATCCTTAATTAAACCTATATCTATTTATAATTTCACTACTTTGACCACGGGCTCCGCCAGTCCTATTATGAAATAAACTTAGATCTACTTATTTCATTATGTTGACCCCGGGGTCCACCGATCCTTAGTTAAACCTAGATCTACTTATTTCACTACGCTGACTCCGGGGTTCACATCCTAAAACCTAACATTTTGTTAAGTAGACCCCGGGGTCCACCTATCCTTTTGGCTAGATAGACCCCGTAGTCCGCCTATCCACTTTCTTGATAATAACTGAAAACAATACATGCCAGTTGTCATTTATAGTGAAGAAAAATGAGGGGAAAAAATATAATTAGGTAGACTTTAATTTGTCCAAAAAATTGCAAGTGCAAGTGAAGATCATAAAATAATTTTGTTATTTTCTGGTCACCTTTCCAAGGACCTTAAATTGATTCTACATCACATGTCATGTACGATACGGCTGTGAAGGAAAATGGATGTGAAGAGTTTTAAAGAGATAATAACGTAACTTGTAAAGAAAACAATGCTTTACATTGGTTTGGTTATTTTGACTACATATGTGGCCTAAATAAGGTAAGGGAGGGGGGTTTAGCTTATTTAGGCCACAGGTGTGGCCTAAATAAGGTAAGGGAGGGGGGGTTAGCTTATTCAGGCCACAGGTGTGGCCTAAATAAGGTAAAGGAGGGGGGTTTAGCTTATTTAGGCCACCTATGGCCCAAATAAGGTAAGGGAGGGGGGTTTAGCTTATTTAGGCCATATGTGGCCTAAATAAGGTCACCCTTACTTTTTACACCTAAAACATATAACAGTTGACATATTTTCCTCAACACTACTCTTTAACTTTAACGTTCGCCTAAAAGACGGGCGGAGTGACGTGAGTATTTTTCGAGACTCACATGGAGATGTCCAGACAACCGGGGGGATGAAATCTACAAGCTTACACTTACACTGAAATGTGGGGGGCTGGGCGGTGTCACTGTCTCAAAATTAGCAATTTGAAGGCAAGGCTACAGTTACTGTAAACCATTTACTTCCTGTGTATGCATCCAAAGAGCGGTTTTTAATATAAAATAGGACCCATAGAGAAAAACTTATTACATGTACTGGGTCATGATTTTTTTTTTTTAAATAATTTTTTTTTGGTTGCTGGTCTGCCGAAGTGCACTGCGAAGTTTCGTGGGCA